GTGTCCCATCATTGGTGTTAGTGGGAGGAATAGTGCCCCGTCATTGGTGTCAGTGGGAGGAATAGTGCCCCAACGTTGGTGTCAGTGGGAGGAATAGTGCCCCATCATTGGTGTCCGTGGGAGGAATAGTGCCCCATCATTGGTGTCAGTGGGAGGAATAGTGCCCCATCATTGGTGTCAGTGGGAGGAATAGTGCCCCATCATTGGTGTCAGTGGGAGGAATAGTGCCCCATCGTTGGTGTCAGTGGGAGGAATTGTGTCCCATTGTTGGTGTCAGTGGGAGGAATAGTGCCCCATCGTTGGTGTCCGTGGGAGGAATAGTGCCCCATCATTGGTGTCAGTGGGAGGAATAGTGCCCCATCATTGGTGTCAGTGGGAGGAATAGTGCCTCATCATTGGTGTCAGTGGGAGGAATAGTGCCCCAACATTGGTATCAGTGGGAGGAATAGTGCCCCAACATTGGTGTCAGTGGGAGGAATAGTCCCCCATCATTGGTGTCAGTGGGAGGAATAGTGTCCCATCATTGGTGTCAGTGGGAGGAATAGTGTCCCATCATTGGTATCAGTGGGAGGAATAGTGTCCCATCATTGGTGTCAGTGGGAGGAATAGTGCCCCATCATTGGTGTCAGTGGGAGGAATAGTGTCCCATCATTGGTGTCAGTGGGAGGAATAGTGCCCCATCATTGGTGTCAGTGGGAGGAATAGTGTCCCATCATTGGTGTCAGTGGGAGGAATAGTGTCCATCATTGGTGTCAGTGGGAGGAATAGTGCCTCATCATTGGTGTCAGTGGGAGGAATAGTGCCCCAACATTGGTGTCAGTGGGAGAATAGTGCCCCAACATTGGTGTCAGTGGGAGGAATAATGCCCCATCATTGGTGTCAGTCGGAGGAATAGTGCCGCAAGGGCCAAATATAGGCTAGCAAAGGTGTGCATCTGGCCCTCGGGCCCCAGTTTAGAGACCCCTGCCCTAGACTTACACCAAGGAAGATTAAGATGCGCTTACAGTATGTCACAAACCTGCTTTGTACACTATGCCATCGTCCAGGGACCAATGTTCTGAAAATTCACATCGCCCATAAAAAAAGAGGACGCAAAAGAAAAAACAAACAATCCTCATCGCATAATACTGTTTATTAAAATCCATAGAGCTACACTCACACAGTAGGGTGCCTCCCCTTGCACCCGGAATGATCTGCCAGTTGCAGCACACATTTATTTTGCACTTTGAAGTGGACTTAGTGAGCACTTCCTGAACATTGGCTCTTTTAAAGGCACGACTATACTGTAAATGTTGTGGGATTGAGGCGATTAAACTCAAGCAATAGGTGCGTTTACAATGAGTAGCGACAGCCCACTTTTATTGAAATAAACGGAAAGCAAAGTTCACATGTACATCAGTGGCCCATGCAGGGGGTTCTTCCACACAATGTGCACAAACGAAAATACCAAACCACCTGGCTCACTTGTTGGCAGCACTGCTTCTCTTACCAGTCCCTTTGACTGTGTTGTCCAGCTCTCCTGGAAAACTTGGCTTTTCAGCCTTAAATCACAGCACAGCCCATCTCTGACCTATGGATTCTCCTGACACCCTGGTATTAGCTGACCTGACTCCTGGAACAAGACCTTGGTGAGACCCTCTGTCTCCTGATTTCTGGCTGGGGCACCTCTGACCCTTTGATGAGACCCTCTGTCTCCTAGCTTCTGGCTGGGGCACCTCTGACCCCTTGATGAGACCCTCTGTCTCCTAGCTTCTGGCTGGGGCACCTCTGACCCCTTGATGAGACCCTCTGTCTGCTGACTTCTGGCTGGGGAACCTCTGACCCCTTGATGAGACCCTCTGTTTCTCGGCTTCTGGCTGAGGCACTTCTGACCCCTTGGTGAGACCATCTGTTTTGTGGCTTCTGGTTGGGGCACCTCTGATCCATGGGTGATACCCTCGGTCTCTCAGCTTCTAGTTGGGGCACCTCTGACCCCTTGGTGAGACCCCCTGTTTTCTAGCTTCTGGCTGGGGCACCTCTGACCACTTGGTGAGACCTTCTGTCTCTTGGCTTCTGGCTGGGGCATCTCTGACCCCTAGATGAGACCCTCTGTCTCATGGCTTCTGGCTTGGACACCTCTGACCTCTTGGTGAGACCCTCTGTTTCTCTGCTCCTTGCTGGGGCACCTCTGACCCCTTGGTGTAATCCTCTGTGTCTTCACTTCTGACTGAGGAACGTCTGACCCCTTGGATGAGACCCTCTGTTTCATGGCTTCTGGCTGGGGAACCTCTGTTCTCTTGATGAGATCCTCTTTTTCTTGGCTTCTAACTGGGAACCACTGACCACTGGGTGAGACCCTCTGTCTTGTGGCTTCTGGCTGGGGCACCCTGACCACTGGATCAGATCCTCTGTTTCGTGGCTTCTGACTGGGGCACTTCAGACCACTGGATGAGACCATCTGTCTCCTGGCTTCTGGCTGACCCCTTGGTTACATAGTTAGTATGGCTGAAAAAAGACAAAAGTCCATCCAGTTCAGCCATAAAAAAAAAATTAATAATCCTACACCCACAGTTGATCCAGAGGAAGGCAAACAAAAAAACCAGCAAAAGCACGATCCAATTTGCTCCTGCAGGGGAAACATTCCTTCCTGATCCCCCGAGAAGCAATCAGATATTCCCTGGATCAATGTTCCCTATAAATGTTATATCCAGTTATATTCTGTGTATCCAAGAAAGAATCCAGGACTTTCCTACAGCAATCCACTGAGCTGGCCACAACCAACTCTGGGGGGAGTCTATTCCACATTCTCACAGCTCTTAATGTGAAGAAACCTTTCTGTGTTTGGAGATTCAATATCTTTTTCTCCCGATGTAATGAGCACCCCCTTGTCCTCTGTGATGACCTCAGGGTGAATAACTTGGTGAGACTCTGTCTCGTAGCCTCTAGCTGGGGCCCCCTGATCCCTGGATGAGACCCTCTGACTTCTGGTTGGGGTACCTCTGACCCCTGAGCGAGACCCTCTGTCTCATGGCCTCTGGCTGGGGCCCCCTGACCCTGGTGAGACCTTCTGTCTCCCACACTGGAAGCGGTCTCCACAACTGGGAGCCGTCTTTGAAACTGGGAGCCGTCTTTGAAACTGGGAGCCATCTCCACAACTGGGAGCAGTCTCCACAACTGGGAGCCGTCTTTGAAACTGGGAGCCGTCTTTGAAACTGGGAGCCGTCTCCAAAACTGGCCACAGCCCTGAGCTTTTCTCATACCTGTGTAAATAATGGCCTTGCACTCCTGTGCACTCAGACAGGTTGCAGGCATCTGGCAAAACCCGGACACAGGATTGAGAGTTCCAATCCAGAATCACAGAATCCAGAAGAACCCAAAAAACACAGCATCCTCTGCTCAGAAATCGTAATCTGGAGCATCGCATTGACCCTAAATGTGAATCTTGTGTCACATTTTGATATGTTCTCCCAGGGAGAGAGCCTGCCCCTGTCACATATGTGCTGTATATGTATTCAGTATTTGGCTTTGCACCAGCATTGTCTGTACTCTATACAGTCTCATTGGGATTGGATTGAAAGGCCAAGCACGGCTTTTGTCATTTATAACCCCAATATATTGTCTGTAACAATCGTCAACCATTAGAACAGCAGCTACCCCAAAGAATGTCATATTTTTCCTTCATATTTGTTTACAGTTCTTTACTTTCTCAGAGATATTCAGTCACCTATCGGAAATTGTTGCACGGGTGATTTTATGTGTGACTTGTTTTCTGGCCTGAATGATGGTGTCAGTACTTGAACATCTGAGTTGTTTAGTCCTTCAGCACCATGGATAACTCCTAAGTCTTCTCTAGTTGGTTTGTCTGATGTAGTGTTTGTTTAACCGCCCAATCACACGTGACAACGCCTGAATGTGAGTACAGGGTCATTGTAACAGGTTATGTAGTCACTCAGACTGGATATAGATCCATAAAAAATAAAATACAACCGTATCCTCAGAATTAGGGATGAGTTGAATGTACCCAGGCTTGGTTCAAGGCAGGTTCGGCAAATATTACTAAAGTATCACATTCGATGGGTGCTGACTGTAATGACCATTGTCTCGGCCAGCCTTTCTCAACCAGGGTGCCCAGGCACCCCGGGGTGCATTGAGGTTTCTTCAGCGGTGCCTTGGCAAAATGTCTAAAAATGACCCAAAACTTGTTACAAAGCCACATGTTTTCATTGTGCACCATTACGACCTTCTAGCCGCCGGCGTCCTGACAACCAATGACATCATCAGTTGATAAGAAGGATGTCAGCTGCCTTCACGGTATCCTTGTTTGACTCCTCTCCCCGCCCCTCTCCATCAGTGCTGGGGGTCACATAAGCTCAGTGATGGAAAAAAACTGAGGGAGAAGAGAAACAATGGAATACTAATCAGTACCCGTGTGCAAAAGTGTATTTGCTTTGAAAGAATAAATCACCTCTAACGTTGGGTGTCCTACGTATATGGATGTAGCGGAGTTATATAAAACTATTAGAATAGTTTTTTTTTTACATTTTAGAATGGGGTGCCCCGGGACTTTCCCTAATTTTAATGGGTGCTTTAAGACTGTCCATAATTTTAATGGGTGCCTCAAGACTGTCCATAATTTTAATGGGTGCCTCGGGATTGTCCATAATTTTAATGGGTGCCTCGGGATTGTCCATAATTTTAATGGGTGCCTCAAGACTGTCCATAATTTTAATGGGTGCCTCAAGACTGTCCATAATTTTAATGGGTGCCTCAAGACTGTCCATAATTTTAATGGGTGCATCAAGACTGTCCATAATTTTAATGGGTGCCTCACGACTGTCCATAATTTTAATGGGTGCCTCGGGATTGTCCATAATTTTAATGGGTGCTTCAAGACTGTCCATAATTTTAATGGGTGCCTCGGGATTGTCCATAATTTTAATGGGTGCCTCAAGACTGTCCATAATTTTAATGGGTGCCTCGGGATTGTCCATAATTTTAATGGGTGCCTCGGGATTGTCCATAATTTTAATGGGTGCCTCAAGACTGTCCATAATTTTAATGGGTGCCTCGGGATTGTCCATAATTTTAATGGGTGCCTCGGGATTGTCCATAATTTTAATGGGTGCCTCAAGACTGTCCATAATTTTAATGGGTGCCTCAAGACTGTCCATAATTTTAATGGGTGCCTCAAGACTGTCCATAATTTTAATGGGTGCATCAAGACTGTCCATAATTTTAATGGGTGCCTCACGACTGTCCATAATTTTAATGGGTGCCTCGGGATTGTCCATAATTTTAATGGGTGCATCAAGACTGTCCATAATTTTAATGGGTGCCTCGGGATTGTCCATAATTTTAATGGGTGCCTCAAGACTGTCCATAATTTTAATGGGTGCCTCGGGATTGTCCATAATTTTAATGGGTGCCTCGGGATTGTCCATAATTTTAATGGGTGCCTCAAGACTGTCCATAATTTTAATGGGTGCCTCAAGACTGTCCATAATTTTAATGGGTGCCTCAAGACTGTCCATAATTTTAATGGGTGCATCAAGACTGTCCATAATTTTAATGGGTGCCTCAAGACTGTCCATAATTTTAATGGGTGCCTCGGGATTGTCCATAATTTTAATGGGTGCCTCAAGACTGTCCATAATTTTAATGGGTGCCTCGGGATTGTCCATAATTTTAATGGGTGCCTCAAGACTGTCCTTAATTTTAATGGGTGCCTCGGGATTGTCCATAATTTTAATGGGTGCCTCAAGACTGTCCATAATTTTAATGGGTGCCTCAGGATTGTCCGTAATTTTAATGGGTGCCTCAAGACTGTCCATAATTTTTAATGGGTGCCTCGGGATTGTCCATAATTTTAATGGGTGCCTCGGGATTGTCCATAATTTTAATGGGTGCCTCAAGACTGTCCATAATTTTTAATGGGTGCCTCAAGACTGTCCATAATTTTAATGGGTGCCTCAAGACTGTCCATAATTTCCCCATCCCCCAAATTCCATGCTAGACCCTTTGGGTCTTGTATGAATTTTAAGGGAGAATCCCGTTCAATAATCAAGGAAGAAAAAAAATGTATGGTCTCCCAAAAAAATCTGTACCAGGCCCTTATCTGAGTAACACCCTGGAAAAGCACCTTTCCCCATACTCATGAGGACAAGGACCCCCCCCCCCCCCAACCCTGGCCTAGTGGTTGTGGAAGTCTGCATGCAGGAGGTTTATTAAAATCTGCAAGCCCCTTTTTTTTCAATAAGGGGACACTCAGATATTATCCCTCCCATGTGAGTAAGGGGTATTTGGTATCCCCACTTTTTCACACAAAAAATAAAGGCACATAGTTTTTAGCAAGTTCTTTTGGAAAGAAAAAAAAGAAAAGTTCCACATTGACCAGTGATGCCTATCTATATGAAGCCAGGTACTCACTGAAAGAAAAATACTCTTGCAAACCATTCCCATTGCTGACTTGCACCAAATGACATCTCCTGGGGCCCTATTGCTGCAAGTATACAAACAGAGGGGGGGCGGGTCTCACAGGTAATGTCATTGAATCTAATAGAGCCACTGCGATTTTATTTCAGGCCTTCCGCTGTGCTAGTCTTCCCAGGCTAGACAGGCTGTCCTGTTCTTCAGACTGCTGGGAGTAGAGATCTCTCTTTTCATCTTTTTCCTCCTTCCTTTCCTCGGCTCCAGCCTGGAGGCAGAGCCCTCCTTCCCCAGGGTCCCCTCCCAGGCCTCATGACTCCAGCTCAGTACTCCATCTTCCACCCGACTCCCCCTTCTGACCAGGCTCTTTAATAATTATGGGCTGACCCAGCCACCCTGCCAGGCCTCCTGCCTGGGGATTGTCCAGATTGCCATGAATATGCAGATCACAGCCTCTTGGCCATCTTCTGGAAGATTCTAGAACCATGGGGAGGTACCAGAGGCCTGACCTGTAGAGCCCTCCAGCTTGTCCTAACGTAAACCCAAAACAATTCCCCAGGCTCACCACACCACTGTGAGTCACAGCTTTGCCTAATCTCTAACCGTTCACTAAAGTATACCTCCCAATGTTTTGAGATGGGAATGAGGGACACCTCTTAGCAAATGTATGTAGGCATAGGACACACCCCTTCCACTCCCCCTTAAAGGAGAATTATAAAAAAAAATTTAGTTAAAACTACAAATGTTTTCGTTTTTTGTTTTTTTTTTTACCACTACTGTTCCATTATACTGGCTTAGAAACTGGATGAAAGGTTTAGCTATGGAAAAACACTTTATGAAATATAAAAGTTGCATTTTATACACAACTATAAAGATCAGACCAAAATGAGGGACACGTGAGTAGGAAAGAGGGACAGAGGGACTTGTTTCAAATCGGGGACAGTCCCCCGAAAATCAGGGACAGTTGGGAGCTATGCTAGAGGATGCTACATATAGTAGTGGTAGACATGTTGATACTAATGTTTGGCTCCTGTCGAAGGGGCTAAAAGTCCAGTTTGGACAAACATCTGAACCACCAAAGTTCTGGGGTTTTTCTGCTATAATGTTCAATTATGTACAGGTGTCCTCCTCTAGCAATGTGAGGTCCACACTCTCCCTTACCCTGTTCGGGACTCTAAAACTGCATTCTTCAGCAAGTCTTCATTATTGACTGGCCATGCTTATGGGAGGCCTGGCGCCCAGATCTTATTCCCAGCACGTTATAGATGCTGCATGGATGGCAGTCAGTGTGCAATTGTTTTAAAAGTAGATTGATAACAGGCGGGAAAGAGGTTTTATGGAGGAATTAACATATTCAGAGCTGCTAAGTGCTGTAATGTTTCTAAAACTTGACTATGGTTCATGTTAAAGTGAAGCATTTTGCACCATTTACTGTATATAGACCATTTATGAATTTGTTAATGGTGATCATATCCCCCTTATGTATTATACATGGAGATCATATCCCCCCTTATGTATTATACATGGAGATCATATCCCCCCTTATGTATTATACATGGAGATCATATCCCCCCCCTATATGTATTATACATGGAGATCATATCCCCCCTTATGTATTATACATGGAGATCATATCCCCCCTTATGTATTATACATGGAGATCATATCCCCCCTTATGTATTATACATGGTGATCATATCCCCCCCTTATGTATTATACATGGAGATCATATCCCCCTTATGTATTATACATGGAGATCATATCCCCCCTTATGTATTATACATGGAGATCATATCCCCCCTTATGTATTATACATGGAGATCATATCCCCCTTATGTATTATACATGGAGATCATATCCCCCCTTATGTATTATACATGGAGATCATATCCCCCCCTTATGTATTATACATGGAGATGATATCCCCCCCCCCTCTTATGTATTATACATGGAGATCATACCCCCCCCTTATGTATTATACATGGAGATCATACCCCCCTTATGTATTATACATGGAGATCACATCCCCCTTATGTATTATACATGGAGATCATATCCCCCCTTATGTATTATACATGGAGATCATATCCCCCCTTATGTATTATACATGGAGATCATATCCCCCCCTTATGTATTATACATGGAGATGATATCCCCCCCCCTCTTATGTATTATACATGGAGATCATACCCCCCCCCCTTTATGTATTATACATGGAGATCATACCCCCCTTATGTATTATACATGGAGATCATATCCCCCCTTATGTATTATACATGGAGATCATATCCCCCCTTATGTATTATACATGGAGATCATATCCCCCCCTTATGTATTATACATGGAGATCATATCCCCCTTATGTATTATACATGGAGATCATATCCCCCTTATGTATTATACATGGAGATCATATCCCCCCTTATGTATTATACATGGAGATCATATCCCCCTTATGTATTATACATGGAGATCATATCCCCCCTTATGTATTATACATGGAGATCATATCCCCCCCTTATGTATTATACATGGAGATCATATCCCCCTTATGTATTATACATGGAGATCATATCCCCCCCTTATGTATTATACATGGAGATCATATCCCCCTTATGTATTATACATGGAGATCTATCCCCCCTTATGTATTATACATGGAGATCATACCCCCCCTTATGTATTATACATGGAGATCATATCCCCCATTAATCTCCTCTTCTCAGTAGAGAATACATTCAGTTCCTCTAATCTTTCCTCGTAGCTGATCTCCTCCATGCCTCGTATCAGTTTGGTAGCCCTTCTCTGTACTTTCTCCAGCTTCCCGATATCCCAAAACTGAACTGCATTTCCCAGATAAGACCTTGCTAATGATTTGTGCAGATTATGTCTCTCTCTCTGAAGTCCATACCTCTTTTATACCCTAGAAGCTGCAGGTTGGAATTGTGTGCTATTAAAAGTTTCATGACCTACCAGATTACCCAGATCCTTCTCCACCACTGACTCCCTCAAATGTAAAATACTATCATGCATGTATCATTCTGTAATTATAAAGCAGGTATGAGCAAAAAAGAATGTCTCAATATTAGTCTGCTAGTGAGTAAAGTTCATGATAACTGTGCATGTTGAGGAGCACACCAGCAGAAAAGCAGCTTGGTCCCCAGCATGTCCCAAACAGGTTTTTGAGTTAATAGGAAAAATAAGATTAGTTGGCTATGTTCTCTAGCAAACAATGTATCTATTGCTGACACATATGAGTGATCTGAAGTTTCCCTTTAACTCTCGCCCAAGGTGTGAAGACAATCTGGAATCAGTCAACTTGCAAAAGAGAAATGCCGACCAGACAATCTCTCATATGAGGAATTCTCTCTCCGGTGTCCAGCAGAAACTGAAGATAAAGGAGGACAGTCTGTCCAGGAAGGATCGAGAACTGGATGACACAAAGAGGACAATCCCGCAAGTGCAGGAGAGCCTGAGGAACTTACAAGAGGAGCTGAAGAAGCTGAGCAACCTGGAAGAGAGGCTGAGTGACCTGGAGGAGGGGCTAAGTGACATGGAGGAGGAGCTTAGTAACCTGAAGAACAAGCTGGGGGGAGCTGCCAAGTGCTTCCGTAAAAGCTGTGAGTGTACTACAAATGTATTGTGGTGGGAATTCAGACGTTAGCCTGTTCCTTCCAAATAAATTCTGGTTTATCCAACAATTCACATTGACATCTACATTTGTTTGAAGAAAAGACAATACTTACTGTACCTCTCCTGTTGCTGCTTATGAGAAATCCTCCTCTGAAGTGTTTTCTGCAAACAAAACTTCCAGCAGTGTTGATATGCTGTGTCCAACAAAGTGCTCAATGCTTCCTCCTGATGATCTCCTGCATCGTGTAGTGATGTAGGGAAGACCCACTGAGCAGTATGGGGTACACAGCACATCAGTACTCCCAGAAACCTTGTCTTCTGAGGAGGGTTTCCTCACAATGGAGCAGCAGCAGGAAAGGTAATGACACACAACTGTATGAGGAGCCTGAGATGATGAGGATGGCCTCTCAAACAATTCCCATCCTAGGACCCCTGGAAATAAAGATAGGACCTGAGAAAGTTCTGGAAAGGCATGCACTACCAATTTAGGGAGGATTCTT